CCTGACACCAATTTGTTACACCTCCGCTTGTCAATTGATTTTCCGTAACTTCGTTCCGACGAAATTTAAGCGACACAAGTCTTTACTTAATAAAACTGGTTTATTCTTTCCGAATATAACTCTGCGATACACTTAATCTCAATACTCGCGCTAAAACAACACTGTAACAACGAACGTCAATAATACTTCCGACTGCAGTTCAATTACTCACTATCTACCACACATTACCATAATAATCTCTCGCGTCACGTTTTACCCTCTTATATATATCCGCCTACCCTATATCTAGTAAGAACTAGAACATTCCCCAAAGTACATGATAGTTCTAGAAAACAAGAGAGCGTGAGAATTGTCACGTGATCTCGATGACGCAACATAACCTTTTGTTCATCGGTATAATGGTGGAAATGATATATGGCTTGAAATACACTTAGTAGATCTTTCATAATAGTACAACACTTCCTTTCTGCAGTATTAATTGCCTTGGTATACTAGGCAAATCCATGTCTTTCCCTTGTTGTACTTATGATGACCCTGCTTCCACTGCAAAATTATTGGTGTCTGTATCTAATATGAGTAAATCTTCAAGAGTTGGGTATGTTAACACGAGAACTGTATTCAATTATTTCTAAAATTTGTCGAATGTTTGCTCACAATCAGAAACCAAAAGAAAAAAAAAACTTAAATGGTTTTTCAAGTAATTTGTACATAGAGTGACAGATTTACTATCCTATATCTATTTTAATATCGATGTTTGTTTAAGTGAAGTTTATATACAGAAATGTGCAGAATTTCTGTATTGCGAAATTCCTGCCTACTCTCTAAAATTGTAGAAAATTCTCGTGTGTAAAAATCATATATATGTGTACGTAAACGCTGGTGTATTTTTTATATTTGTTGCGTCAGCGAGGTCACGTGACTAGTATCACGCCACCTGTTTCTAGAAATATCCTGATCCTTCAAGAATGCCCTAGCATTTACTAGATATGTGTTAGTTTTGTATATATAAGACGTTCACAACGTGATGGGATAACAGAGGTAATGAGTAGTTGAACTGCAGTCAGAGAGAATATTGTTAAGCACGTGAGAAGTTCGTTGAGAATTATAGCGTTTGTTACAGAGCGACTGTTGAAGTTGAGTGTATCGTATAGTTGTATTCGGAAAGAATAAACCAGTTTTATTTAAGAAAGGACTTGTGTCGCTAAAGTTTTTTTAGAACGAATTTACGGAAAATCAATTAACGAACGGAGACGTAACATATTGCTTTGTAAGTTGAAATTTCGAAAGACTTCTCTCACGCCTATAAATATAACCAAAAGACAGTGTATATTGTTAAGACAGCGGAAGTCACGTGACGCTGCTGGCGCGTTGGCGCTGGTAGCGTGCGTGATGA